TCAAAAGGAATGGGATTTTCCATCATGTTCTCTCCTTTTCTGTTTTTTTTTTTTTTTTTAATTGGCCTCTGATGAATTGCTGTCTTTTTCCTTAACTGTTGGTCACTCTAAAACGACAACACAAAATACGTACATGCATCACAAATCTCGCTGTGAAAGAAGAGCTTTCGAGGATGACAATATTTGCCTGAGGAGGATATTTTGAATGCCATGGGTGCTTTCTCTTCTAATAATTAATTCTTTTATTTATGGAATGATGACAAATTTGGCATTAAATAATAGTAGCCATACTCAAGACTTTTTGGCATATTGTTCTTTTTTAACTTTTGCTTTTTCACCATGTTCCTTTTCTTTTATTTCTTTCTACGACGAAGTAATTTTCCCTTAGTTGTGGTTTTCCTCTATTTTTCTCAAGTAATTTTTCTTCTTTTATAATAAAGAACATGCTGATTGATGGAAAATTTCAGGATCTCTATGAGGCTACCGCAGAGACCTCTGATGTAAATCCCTGCATCTCTGTCACACTTCGTCTGCTTTCACTCCAGAATAAAGGCTGTATTTGTATTGATGAGATTTATGTGTTTGCTGATCCTGTTGCTCTAGCTGATTCTGAAAGACAAGAGAGCAATGCAGAAAGCTCGTCTGGCAGTTCTCTTATGTCTATGTTTCTTCCGACTCTGATGCAATTATCAAAGACAACTGCTCTGAGCCACATAAATGAGAAGTATCCACCTGTTAGAAAGGAAAAGCTATATTTTCCAGAAGTTGATGTGGGAAGAAGTCATCTATGTGACTCTGTAATTCACACCCAGCCAGAAGGAAGAGCTAGCAAAACTGATCATCAAGAAGGGGAGCTTCGAAAGGTGAATGAAGAAAGTGTGGGTCCATCTCAATCAGACATGCTCTTGCAAGATGCTTCTGTTGATAGCAATCCTACAACAACCTCCCCCGCTGCTATAACAGAGATCAACCAGAGTGAAACACCCTCACAAGCTACTAAAATAAAGAGCAACGACAGTGATGTGCCCTCAAAAGCTACGGCTGTGGAGAAAAATCGTAGTGACTGTCTGGGTGTTAATGTGGAAAGGGCCCTGGAGCAGCTTGTGTCTCGAATGGACAAAATGGAAGCAATCTGTTTGGGCTTTCAAGAGAAAATGCTAATGCCCATAAGCAGCATTGAGGCTAGGCTCCAGCAAGTAGAGCAGCAGCTTGAAACACTGACCATCAAATTACAGAATTCTGGATTCCCATCGTGCTCTAGAACTTATGCTCCAGATAGTTCCTGCACTCAGTCAGATGCTAACTCATGTGACAATTGTCATGGTAGTAGTGTCACTGGAGGATTGAAACCAGACAAGAACGGTTCTCATATTGAAGGACTATCTGTCTCCTCTAACGATAGTTCTGATTCAGCTAATGCTACTCAATTGCACCCTGGTCTCATAGTCACAGCTCCTGAGTTTCTTGATGCTGAGGATGAAGAAGAAAATAAAACACTGGGATTAGAAACAGCTTCAAATGATAAAGAGAGGCAGCATATGTCAATTGATGATGCTGTAGCTTCTGCATTAGCTGGATTTTTATCTTCTGTAACTTCAGAAACTCCGAGGTATACCAAAAGTCTTGTAGTCAGAGCCCCTGAGTTTATAAATGAATATGATCATGAAAACAATGATGCTTCACCTAGAACTTCATATGAGATAGAAAATAATGATGATTCAAACCATTTCAAAGACACGGAGAATATTAGCAGCTTGCAAGAGTCAACTTCAAACAGTGTTCATTCGGAAACAGAAAAGGTGAAGAATATTGCCAACATAGCGCTGGAGAAGATGACCAGAAAGAGGCGCGTGTAGAACCTGGCGTCCTAGCTGAGCATGATCCAGGAACAAGTTTTGAGCATACTGTGGAGGATAACGAAAGCAGAAATATCAGTGTTCAGATACATGATAGTTTATCATCCACGAGTGACATTCCTAAGCTGTGTCAGACAGATAGTGTCTCTAGTAGTTCCACTGAGGGAGAAGTTTGTGTGAACACTGACTGTACAGACACAGTAGCGACAGAAGTCCCAAAAAAAGCCTCTCACGAAGATATTATGGAGAATGTTCTTGGATTTTCATGCGGTTCCTCTGTGGTGGATTTCAAAACATCAATCTTAGATGTAAAATTCATCTCTCGGGAAAATCATGTTACCAAGCCTTTCCTTGCAGCTCTTGTTGACACTCCAGAGACGAGCTCTCAGGATGATCCTGTGGGTGGAAACAGTGATGATCTTCCTATTAACGAACAATTTAAGAATAATGGTAATCTTTCAGTTGCAGAGCAGAATGATTTGATCTCAATAGATGTTGCAGAACCGGTGGATCCAGCTATCAATGCCCGTTTTTCAGTGGATAAGGACTATTGTGCTTTGATAAATGTGCCTGTGGAGGTTCAGGGTGATGACCTGCAAGAGGACCGTAAACGCAAACGCAACGAGGATGAAATTGCTTCTTCAAGTCTCATATGACGTGGCCTCATGATGCATACTTCTGTTCTTTGCTGTTTGATTTGAATCTAATTTAGTAGTTTACAATCTGGATGCTTCTCCTTCTGAATATATTCTCCTTTGTTGTTAGCTTGTCTTTTATTCTATCATTTATTTATTTGCTTAGTTTTTTCCGCAAGTCAATAATACGAGGGAATTTTCTTAGCTGCTGCTCTTAATCATCTTTGTAAATAGCCGATGACATCTTCAATCTGAAGTCATGGTTTTAGTTCAGTATTCATTTCTATTTATGCATTTATTTATATAAGCGATCGTATGTTTATTATAGTATTTTCCTGTTTATTATAGTTTTTTCCCAGTATGTTAAGTGTTTATGATTATTAGGGAGTGTTGGGTAACTCTCAAAAGTGCTTCTAAAAAGCATTTTTCATAAAACGAGATAAACTCTTTTATATATTTTCTTCGTAAGTCGTAAAAGCGCCTTTGAAACCATGGTTTGATTTCTATCTAAGTACTTTTAAAATCGAAGATAAACCCAAGAGGATTGGTTTGCTAGTAAATGTGAGCATGTGATGTAGTCATTGTGCTATTTAGGTTTCTAAATCTAAGACTCTTCATCTAGCTCTCCCTCTTCCTCCCTCCCAAGACTCTATCTAGCTCTCCCTGTCCCTCCTTCCCTGACCTATGAACGTGATACAGGATAATCAAGAAGTATCGAGTGGTTATTTGTGATGTCAACTGACATCAAATTCCCTTGAGAATTTCTTGTAGAAATGTTTAATAATTAAAACGTGTAAAACTACCAATACACTTTTTTTTTAAATAAGAATGAGACTTGAAGTTTATTGTCACACTAAGCTAGTAGAATCTTACTCATAATGGTCAATGAAAAATGAGAAAATGGCAAATGCAAACCCCTAAATATGTGAAATTGTGATTTGGAACCCTCAATTTGAAAAATGACAAATAAAGACATAGTCCCATATTTTAAATATGAAATCTTCATGACATATCTGAAATGTCCATCGACCAAGTGACAAGTTGATTATGAGAAATGACAAGTTCACTTTAACGAATGATAATTTTAGTAGACCAGATCACAACTTGACTGAAAGTATGCTAAATAACAAGTTGACTATGGAAATAACAAATTTACTTTAGCGAATGATAACTTCAATAGACCAAATCACAACTTGGCTAAGGGGCATTTCAGACATTTAACCAAGATTTCATATTTGTAATATGAGACTGGATCTTTATTTGTCATTTTTCAAATTGAGGGTCTCAAATCACAATTTCACATATTGGGGGATCTTTATTTGCTATTTTTTCATGAAAAATCACAGCGGAATGGAAGAAAATATAGAGAAAGATAAAGACCAACTTGAAGAGAAGAAAAAAGAAGTCACAAAGGAAGAGGATAAAAGAAGTTAGAGGAAAAGATTTTTAGAGAGAAGCCAAAGATAAATGATTCCATATAATTTTTTCACTGCCTCCTCACCACTTTCTTCTACTTTCCATTTGTATTAAAAAAAAAAAACTTTATGAACTTTTCTTTTATCCCTTTCTTTTAGAGAGAATTATAATAAAGTCCTAAAGAAAAAAGATAATAACAAAATAAGTCCCTTGTTATTTTTTATTTTGAAACTTGTTGCACTTTTTAGCAATTATTTTCTTTTTTAGAACCTCACTGTAATCCTCCTTTTTTACTATTACTCTGATATTTGACATTTGATGCCATTGCTAATAAAAAATGATGTAGAACAGAAAAGCAAAAGATGGATGCTTTTGTTTGTTTTTAAGCACATCTTCGAAAATCTTGCATGGCGCATTTCTGTAGCCTCTTATATATAAATATATATAATATTCATTTTTTAAATATCATTTTGTCTTTTCCTCATAAAAATAATAATATTCATTGAGCATTATCTCTATATTATACTAGTACTTATTTTCTCCTCCAGATTCGTATATTTACAAAAAAGAAAAAAATTGAAACTTTGGATAGCCATCTATACATGAAGAGGATAATATCCGTATAAAATAAAATAATCTAAAATCTGCAACAGATTTTATATGATACTAATCCTCATAGCTTTCCAGTTTTTATACCTGCATAGAGGGAAATAACTAAGATCCAAAATCCAAGATTCAAAATCTAAGATCCAAAATAAATTCAAACAAATCAACGAAAAATTCAAATAATACAAAAATTCTTTCGAAAAAAATTATTCAACAAAACTGTTTTAAAAACGTAAAAAATACAAAGGTAAAGTCATGCAACCCCTAAAATACCCTTAAAAAAAGGGGAAAATTAGATAATAGATCCATATACCGATCTCAGCCCCATGTCCCCTTCTATTTTTGTTTTATGGGCCCGATTTAGCCCAATGTCCGCTTCTGTTTCTGTTTTATGGGCCCGACTTAGCCCAATGTCAATTTCGCTTTTTATTTATAAATACTACTCTAGTACTAGTTATAAGACCTGATACGTAGGCTATAAGCTATATCGTCCGCCACATTCACATTCCAGGGTTTCTCATAGTAACAGGCGAAGACAGGGCAATCTCCGGCAGCCGCTATGGTTCTCAAGTAAGTACCAATTTTCCCTTCTTTTCTTATCTCATCTCTCTGATATGTGCGCGCGCTATGCATAATCAGGAGCTTTTGCTGAACCATGATCTCTAGGAATACTGTTATCTGACATTCTTCTCGCGTTTTTGGTCCATTATTTTGAAACTTTTTGGAGGAAAATATATTCCAGATGAACTCATCGAGCCAAGCAGTTAACGAGAAGTTTCTGAAACTTAGTGCAATGCAATGCCCTGTCGAAAAGGGACTTTCTTCTAAGTTAGAAAGAGGCCTAAGGCCATACTCTCGATCGAGCATTATGGAAAATGTATAGTCATGTGTGAAAATGCTCGTATTTACTTGGGATATAAAACATCTTTCCTTAGAAACACTGGAAATGAAAAATTGAATTATCGACCACTTCGTTCCCTGTAACAAATTAGTCTGCTAAAGGATTATTTCTCAACATTTAGAAAATTTTGATCTATCCAGCTAGATCCATTGCAAATTCCTGTCTTTTCTGTTTTCCCAAGCTCCAAGCTGGACCATACGCAATAGGCATTGAAGAGATGACAAGAATAACTTCACTTGCCAATCATGCCTCTCTGGTGTTGTGATGAAAAAGTTCGTGCTTTGAACTGATTGTTGTGGTTATTATCTGTTTATCTATGATGACTTGATTTTGATTGAGTGGTACTGCTATTATTGCACAACTCAGTATTACTCCCCGAATAAATTGTAAACCAAGCGCCATTTTATTTTTTTCCCCATCATAATAAAAACATGCAATCATTTTTCTAATTATTTTAACTGGTATTTGATGTTGGCATATCAGGACGGAGCTCTGTCAATTTAGTGGGGGCAAGATCTACCCTGGGAAAGGCATCAGATTCGTTCGCTCTGATTCTCAGGTGACTTCAATAGGATCAGTCTTTCATTTTCAGGGCTCATATGATGACCTATTGTTCACTAAATGGGTTCTTTTTATATTTTTATCAGGTCTTTTTGTTTGCCAGCTCAAAATGCGAAAGGTACTTCCACAACAGTTTGAAGCCTTCAAAACTCACCTGGACTGCCATGTACAGGAAGCAACACAAGAAGGTGTTGCTATGATCAAAATTACCGATAGTTTTAGTCAACCTTTAACTTGTATCAATTCCACATATTAAATTTCCTTGATTGTAAAGAATTCAAAATATCTAAATAAAACATATAAATCTAAGATCATAAAAAATTATTGGTTTCTACATGGGTGACTTCTTGCTTGTCTTGAATGTTTACTGCATTGAGGTGTCAGAATTAAGCACATAAACGGAATGTGTGTATTTGCTTATTGTATTCTGAAACTGTTTGAAATGTCTGATCTCTCATTGATCAAATGCATGATTCTTGTTTGTGTATGTGGTGTGTGCAGGACCTTGCCCAAGAGGCTGTGAAGAGGCGTCGCACCACCAAGAAGCCTTACTCTAGATCGTTTGTCGGTGCTAATTTGGAAGTTACCCAGAAGAGAATTGTGCTTTGATAAATGTGCCTGTGGAGGTTGAGAGTGATGACTTGCAAGAGGACCGTAAACGCTAACGCTAACGCAACGGGTCGTTTGTCATTTATTTATTTACTTAGTTTTTTTGGGGTTCTGCAAGTGAATAATACGACGGAATTTTCTTAGCTGCTGCTCTTAATCATCTTTGTAAATAACCGATGACATCTTCAATCTGAGGTCATGGTCTTAGTTCGGTATTCATTTCTTTTTATGCATTTGTCTATATAAGCGATTATATCTTTATTATAGTATTTTCCCGTTTATTTAGTATGTTAAGTGTTTATGATTATTAAATAAATCGGGGATAAACCCGAAAGGATTGGTTTACTGGTGAAATGTGAGCATGTGACGTGTGGTTACTGTGCTATTCAGGTTTCTAAATCCAAGACTGTCTTGCTCTCCCTCACCCTCCCTCTCTCTACCTACCAACATGATACAGAGTATTAAATTCACCAGAGAATTTCTTGCAGAAACGTTGAATAATTTAAACGTGTGCAACCACCAGTACACATTTTTTATATGAATGGGACTTGAAAATTTATTGTCACACTAAGCTAGTAGAATCTTACTCATAATGGTCAATGAAAAATCATGGCTGAATGAAAGAAGATACAGAGAGATAAAGACCAACTCGAAGAGAAAAAAAAAAGTTACAAACGAAGAGGATAAAAAAAGTCAGAGGAAAAGATTTTCAGAGATAAGCCGAAGATCAATGATTCCATACAATTTTTTTCACCGCCTCCTCACCACTTTCTTCTACTTTTCTATGTCAATGGCAAATTCCTCCAGTGCTAATGCCGTCTAAGGGTATATTGGTCAATGAGAGGAAGGAAGGGGAGGGATTTTAATGGAGGGAAGGGGAGGGGAGGGAGTGGAAGGATTTTAATATTATCTTGTTTGGATTTATAAAAAAAGAGGGGAGGGGAGGGAAAAATATTTTAATATGGACAATTTGCTCTATTTTATTTAAGGCGTGGGCATAATGGTCACAACATGACAAAATATAGACATAATGGTCACAACATGACAAAATATGGGTATAATGGTTATAATATGAAAAATATTGCACTTTCCCTCCAATCCTCCCAATTTTGGAGGGGAGATTGAAGAGGGGAGGGGAGGGGAAATTTTAAAAAATTTTCCCTCCCCTCCTAAAATTTTGTGTGTTGCCAAACAAGGGAAATGATTAAAATCCCTCCCCTTCCCTCGCTCCCACTCAAATCCCTCATACCAAACACACCCTAAAGCTGATAATGAGTTTGAACCTGCAAGTCTAATTGTCAAAAAATGATGGATTGAATTGGCAAAATGTGAGTTTGTTTTAATGCGGACCTTTTGGCTTGCAGCTTGTCAAACCACAACTTGCCATGAGCTGGGTTGCCTTTTTTTTAATAATTTTTTTTTTGTTTTTATTTTTATTTTAATAAGAAAAAATTATTATTTTCACTCAATTTAAATATAGCTTTATATTTTGTTAGAAACTTCAATTTTAAATTTGATTTCTCATTTTCTTTATTGTTTTATCATTTTTGTATTAATAAAGCAACTACTAAAAAAATTATATATTTATATTTGTAAGTTTTGAGATTAATTTATTTATGGAATTACATGAAAATATACAAAATTAGAATTTAGTCTATAAAAGTTTATAATTTAATTTGAAAATTAATATTACATACGTAAAAATGAAGAAAAAATGGAGGTTGACAGGTTCCTAACAAGCTCGCATTGGTTAGATGTTAACCAGTTAGGAGGTAGTCTTTTTAGGGCTAACTCACATGAGCTCCAACTCCTATCAACCCAACTCGTATCACCACCTCTAATTGCCACTCATCATAAGTTTGAGTTTAGTATTGATATGTTTGTGCAGATGTATATGTAATCTGAAGAAGTACATCTTTTGGCGTACTAACAATTACTTCATAGTCTGGATTCATATGAAGTCCATTCACTCCATAATTAAGGATTGGTTTTGAAGCGAAAGCATTCTGAAACATTCAAGTGCATTAAATTTTGCTTACCATTTGTTGCCATTATAGAAAAGTTCCAACAGATGATGTAACATGACAACAGTCATCCAATAAAACCAGTAAAAGATCCTCATGGATTGGATAGGATGTTAGGTAATGCATCTCACGAAAAAAGGGCCATCAATATACATGACCCATGTCACCATGACAAATTTTACACGAGAAAAAGAATGGCAATTCTCAATATAGTTTACTCATCTTGCCCCAATAATTTTCCTGACTTCTCAGTTTGATAATAAATTTCTACTTAAAATTAATATGGCCTCTTTTCTCTCTTGGGTAAAGAAAACTTTTTGACCCTCGAGTTTGTCCCAGTTATCAGGATTGATTCCTAGAGTTTAACTTCTATCAATTAAGTTATTAAAAGTTTCATAAATACACACAACTAGTCCTTATGGTTTGAAAACAATATAATCTTGGACATAAATAGTGTAACCTTATCTCAATGACAATCTCTTCATAAATTGCAGAAGAAATTATTGGTCCCATGTAATCAATCAAATAAAACTTTAAAATTGTGTATAAAACTTAAAGGACCAAATTAAACTGACATCAATTTCATTATTCCTTCTCTCTCTTTGTCCTAATCCATTTCTGAATGTTTCATATACATTCACTTTTGTCAATACAAAAAATCTTGGATTGGAAATATTACCATAAAACAATCCTTTAAACATTATCTAAAACCAAATAGCAGCATTAGAATTTCTACATTGTAGATCCTCCTTTGATATTTTCATTAATATTTAATAGACCTCTCCAACTACTTGCGGAAGACTATCAAAGAGATAGGCTTCATATGAGAGGTAATTATCACCAATACTACTTGGGATTGTTCAGAGCTGCAATGGAATTCAGTCCCATAACAGAAGCTCAAAGCTTTTACACATCGCCTGGAAAAAAACATGAAACAAGAGCACATCCAATTGAGATTTGAATTTTACACAGGAACATTATCGGCATATACAACTTCTTTTAGTGTCCAAATTGTATCAGCAACATTTTGAAGACTACAAACTAGACTATAAAGACTTCAATGTCTATACAACTTTTTTTAGTGTCCCAATTGTATCAACAACATTTTGAAGACTACAAACTAAACTATAAAGAGTTCAATGTCTATATATTAGAAGATATATAGGTATAATATGACAAAGCTGATACATCTTTTAAAAAGGAGAAACGGAATGCAAAGAAAAGCAATATATGAAACCATCTAATTCTTCTTCCTAAGATGTAGAAATCAAAAAAGACAGTAAGCTTGTGAAATTAGAGGAACAAAAATAGAAATTGAGTCAAAAAAGAAAAAAGACAAAGATAGGAATCACCAACTAAAGAAGATTGCAGGCTTCTTTCACCAAAAAGAAGAAGAAGAAGAAGAAGAAGATTGCAAGCTTGTCAAATTAGAGTAACAGAATATTTTATTATGAATTTTCCCTGCATTCAATGACCAAAAATTGAGAAAGCCAAGAAAAATTTTGAAACTTAAAGCATCCAATTCCCATCACAGTTTCAACAATGAAAAGAAAATGAATAATAGTAAAGCACAAGTTTCTTCCATCCCATACTACAAACCTCAGGTTTATCTTAGTAAAGATCTACTGAAACAAGTCAAACAACATTTGGTAAATGATCACATATTACCATCTGCATAAGAATTACGTAAAGGAAAACAGAACATGTCCTAGAACAATAATTGCTCACCAACCATTTTGCCTTTTCACTATAAGAAAATCCCGGAGTACCATGTCGCCATGTCTAGTGACTTATAGAGTAATCGAAGTGTACCATTAGATTTTATTGCCCTGGAATATATTACTCCCTCAAATCCTTATTATGAGCTTCAAATAACTAATTCATGGATAAAAACTATTAGTTAAAATTAGTTAAAAGTAATAAGTAGATTAGAAATATACTTTTGTTTCCAAATATGTCCTTATAATAAATGAGAAAAAAGACGAAAGAAAATGTGTTGGAAAATGTGATAGGAAAGAATATGACAAAAGAGAGAGAATAAATAATTAAGGACAAAATGAGAAAAATGCATTAAATGTTAAGACAAAGTCAAATTGAAGCTTATAAATAGGACTGGAAGGATTATTTTCAAGTACGAACACCAAAACTTCAATATGGCAGACAACTTCTGAAGTCTGAACTTCTGTCACACAAATTTCCAATCATTTTAGTGTGATCATCACATGGGTATTAGTTAAAAGAATCACCCCCCACCCAAGATTCTCAAAGGTCCAGGCAAGAGATCAAGCAAAGACATTATAAAAAGGTAACAAATGGTAGCCAGAAGAGTCCAAATGTCATAAAGTCTAATTTTTATTGGAATCAGCTCGCCAGAGTGACAAAGATGAACTCAAGAATGAAACTCAGATTGACACAAACCCAGTCATCCCAAATAACTCAAAAACGGGATAAAAAGATAAATCAAAAAGGGATTACCTATGCAATGCCTTGGATCTACTCGGTGGAAGAATAACAGAGGTTCCTTGTGTTCATAGGCTATTGTGATGCCTCCTGTTCTCTCTATGGTGCTGTTTCTTTCATTCATTTATCGTTATCTCCCTCTTGATTTGCTTCAATTGAATGCTTCTTCTTACACCCGAGGCAACAACTCACAGTGGGATCTGAGATAAGACAAATTTTGAACTTAGAAATTCAAGTTTAGATATAAAAGGAAGCAGGGGAAAAACAACAAAAGCAGAGCCCAAGAGGGAATCAAACTATTCAAGGTTTGTGAATAGTTCAGTTTCCTCCAGTTCTTATATTTAATCATAGTATAAAGTCGGAGGTTTACTTGCTATGTGCTCTGCTGTTTCCTTTAAATTTTGCTCGATCAACTGGCAGTCGGAGGTACTATCATGTAGAGGTAGCATTGTTCCTTGAAAAAATGAGTCGTTACATGCCCAAGTGTATTAGTCGATTGGATTACTTTTCATCCAACTCTTTCTTTTTCTTCACTTGGAAGAAATGAAACCCAGCTGTACAACAATAAAATCAGAGGTCAAAAGAGTGCTATAAATCAAAGTTTTTGAAATATCATGGAAACAATTGCTCAGCAGCCATGCAGCTCTAAATCTCCTAACTTTATGACTCATCTGATTGGAACCTTGATCTATGAAGGGCTTTACCATTCAAAAGAATCAAAACATCATAAATCTCAAAGAAGCTGCAGGGGAAATACAATCACTAGATACAGCAAAAGAAATCGACAATTTTTAGGTTTCATGGAAAATTTTCCATCATACATAAACTTTGCATCTGCCATCGTCTTGGATAAAAAGCATTAGCTAGAAGCAAGCTGAAAACCATGTTACCATTTAATATT